CTGAAACAGAAGGTTTTTTTGGGGAAAAAAAACCCAACAAAACACTAAACCATTAAACAAACAAGTGACAAATATATCTTTTGCATCTCCAGCTCTCCCGTATTGCCCTCTACAATGTTCCTCAGCTCCAACCCAGTGAGCCACCACTGTGAGCCACCCTCCACGATTTGTTCCTTAGTCATTCCCATGGGAAGGACAGGAGGTAATGGAGATTTTTGTGTTGGGAACACCTGTCAAGCTGCAGATAAACTGAGATGATCAACTCATTTCACAAAGGTCTATGAATAGCCATCTCAGGGTAATGACTGATTCCTGCTGCCATGTGCCAGATCAAAACAACAACAGAGAGGTAAAAGGCTCAAAATACAGATGTTTAGAGCCAGAGTCGCTTTAATTTTAAGTACTGTTGTAAAGTATTGATTTCTCACACTTCCATATACTCCTGCTTGTGTATATGTATATGCACATGTGCATTTGTATATGTAGCTAAACATACATGCATGTTTACTCATACACTTTATAACATTGTAGTCTCAGTGGTTTTAACAAATTTTACCTTGATTTAAAAATAGTGCAATGTCTGAACTCCTTTCTAGACGATTCATCACAGAAAAAAAAAAAAAGAAGAGGGGAAAGGAGTTAGCACTTCTTAATTTCTTAACTGCAGTTTTTGATTATCATCCCACTCGGTTTAACTCTAGTTAGGTAGTTTTCAGGATGTTTTAATTTTTATCTGTTTCCTGTGCTCTTCCAAAATTTTATTCCTAATACAGGCCTTGGTTCCTGTGCAGGCCTACTGGAAACTGATTGAGCAGTATTATTCCACCTAATAGTTCCAAAAATAATCACAAAGAAAAGCCAGTGAAAGCCTGTGGTTTCAAATATTCAAATAACTCTTAAAAAGAACAAGCAGGTCCTTAATGACATAAGAGCATTCAAAAATGTACCCTGTATCTTTTTATTGTTAAAATCAATGGTAACTGCGATACTCACTTCCACTCGGACAAACCAGAAACCAATACAGGGCCCTTAAAAAAACCCAATCAAACAAAAACAAGCACCTAAACAACTGAACAAGCCCAGAACAAGAAAGCGAACTCCCCACTTTTTAAAAGTTTTAACAGTATTTTTGAAAAGGAACCTCAGCCACTTTCAAAAATTGTGTCCCAAGCCATGAATAGATGAGATTCTTCCCTTGCAAGCTGCTTTGCTCATGTGGTCTCTTAAGCCCAGAGAAAGACACACTGACATTCGCCGGACTCCAGATGGGCACGAGGGGCCACCCACCTGGTCTACCGCTTTCCAGAAGGAACAGCCACGACAAGCACTCACTGCTGATTCAGAAACTAATTTTGTAGTTATGGGCTGTATTCAAGTCCCTGATCTTCCACATACAAGGAATCGCCACGAGTAACAGTAGAGGGGAGGAAAAAAAAAAAAGAAAAAAAAATCTACTGACAAGCTGAATTAAATAACCCAGCTGAAAACCATGGCATTCCAGTTCCGAGTGGACTGTTACTTATGCCAAGACCTTCAGTGCTTTTGAACACGGAAGATTGATCCCTCCACTGCCAAACGAGAATGAAAGGACTGCAAGCGAAGAAAAGTTAAATTATCGAAAGTATTGCATCATAAAGATTCTCTTCAAACATCCGCCAGCCTAGGCTAAATAGAAACCAACACATTCATCTACGAAGAAAGGTAAGCCAGCAAACTCCAAGGAAGGATTGTTAAGGACAAATATAAGCCTGGCCTGACAGCATCTTTATGTCTAGCACAGCCTACATGATAGGTTCCTTGGCAAATTCAAAACAATCTCTCTGACCTAGGGTCTGGGAAGCCACTACCCTGGAATATATGAAAATAATTATTCTTTTTGGCTCAAACCCCCAAACAAAACAAAACTGTATCGCACTTTAGTTATAGCTGTAGATAAGGCAGTCTCCTTAACACAGGTCGAGTCAGAGGGCTGTTGTGACAGCAGCCAGAAGCCCCAAATTAGCCTTTGACCCCTCTAATGCAGGAATTGTCCCCAACAACTCAGAATCCCAACCCCACCAGCAGCTCCCTAGGAGGGACCTTCCCTACCCAATCCCCCTCAACCAGTGGTTGTCTTTCCAGCACAGCAAGTCTTGGCTGCAAGAGCTGGAGGCCTATGGAAATGAAGCTTTTATTAACAATTTTATCTCTAGGATTTAGAGTCAGAGAAGACCCTGAGTTATTCTGCACAGTTTTAGAATTCCGTTAGGATATTTTACCGAGTGATCTCATTAAATCTAATCATACCTATTTTTAACACTAAACCACAAAGAAATTAAAGTGTTAAATCCCCGTAATAAATAATACATCTCATCAGCTGTAGGCCATGAAAGTTGCAGGCAGATCTGCAGCTCTATATATGTTGGGAGCGTAATCCTGAAGCCACTATAGGTTTCCGTGTACAGATGAAAGTAGATCAATGGTATCTCGGGTTGAGAAAGGAAGCATTGTCATGAAAAAAAAGAAAAAAAAAAACCCACAACAAACGGTGTCCTTTACTCCTGGACAGTCTTTTGCTGTCCAACTCTTGTCTGTAGTAAACTAACTAAAAGGCGAGTCACACGTTTATAGAATGGGTTTTTATACACGTATCTGCCGATTTTGATGACGATTATTGCTGTTGAGTTTCTCCACACACTTAAAACCAAAGTAATCTTGTTTTTACAAGCTAATAGAAAACTAATGGCAAATTATTAGAACTACAGTTATGGCTGTTACCTTCAGTTCTTCTCCACAATATTGTAAAGTATCAGTCCAACTATATTTTTCTCTCATTCTTTCCACCCCATCAAATTACGGCTTTCCCAAACTCTTTCCAGTTTGATCACAAAATTGCTGCTTCGCACAAGACACACACGTACAAATTAGAAACAGGAGATACCAAAGCATTACAGGAGAGCTCTTTCTCGTGGGTATCCTTCCAGCGTGAGGCAGAGATGACACACGCTCTCTGCTGACCACCATTTAACCGTGATGCCCCACTGAAATACACACTCATGGCTTACTTCACGGTTCAGCATGCTCCACAGCACTTAATAAACTAAGCACTCAAACCGTCTTTTTAAAATTACGGAGGACATAATTAAGCTCCAGAAATAAGCAGGCAACAGCAATTTTAATATAAACATCCTACTTATGTAGAGGACTCTTCTTTCAACTTGGCGCTAATGCCCAAACTCTTACTTTTGGATTCTTGCAAATCTCTAGAAGGCTTCTTCCAATATTTCCTGGAGTTACACCTTTAGTTTGCCCCCCTTACATTTAAATCTATTTCAGACATTTTGACACTTAACTTTCCTTTTCATCAGTGGAAAAATTGGTCAGATCAGCCTACCAACAGTACCTGACCTAACAAACCAACAACATCCTAAGCCTGGATGGAGACATTTGGCCTTCTCAGCAGCAGGCCATGGAAAAACAGATCATGACATATATATTTGAGCAAACCATTGACCAAATATAGCCAGCCACCAACGATAGCCACGTACTGCTACCGAACGCACAACACCCATCCCGATCTCGCAAACGTTGACTTTCCTCGCGAGTCCAGTTCTTGGACTAACCCTGGAAGTTAAGCTCACGAGTGGGTCTTTGTACGACCGGGGCCTTAACGACCGCGGGGGTTTAATAAGTCAAATAAGGGCCTGAAACCGCCACAGAGAACCCAACCGGGGGTGGGGCGGGTG